AAATCACAGTTCTTCAATCTGCAAAAAAAAATTTATTTCTTCATAATTTAAAATAGATGCAAAGGATGTTATTTTTCAATGTATTCATAATGGTAGTGGACTCAGCAATCCTTGTATAGGGTTTCCGAGGCTATAAATCTTGATGGGAGGGAGCAGAAAGCCTCATCTTTCTCCAGCGGAGCAGCTGGTAGTTTCAAATTGCTGACCTTGTGGTTAGTATCCCGACTTGTAACCACTACACTATAGCTTTTTAAAATCATGCTGTTCCCTCCTTTTAAACCTATATATAGTTCTTCTGGGCATCGTGTTTGTAGGCAGTCTAAATGATCCAGCATCGAAGCACTGTCCTGAACTAGCTACAGCTTCTGACAAAACTACGCTATCTAGAACCTCTGGTAATAGAATGAACTGCCAAAACAAGGGGAATGCAGTGGCTCCATACATTAAGCACTAGGGTGGTCCACTAACCACACGATTTGCCATTCAAGTCCACCAGACGCTCTGTAAGAAAGATGAGACTTCTGCTCCCTGGACTATTTAAAGCCTCGGAAACCCTATGAAGGGTCACTATGAGTTGTAACAGACTCGACGGCACTTAACACCAACAACAATACCAAAAACCAGGCGAGTGGGTAAACCCACTTGTGGCACATGCTCAGGTTGACGTGGGGGTTTGTGCTATAAGACGTGAAATTATTCTGAGCACATAAAAAACAGACAAAAGTACATCCGCAGAACCACCTACAGTTTCTACGTGTGCCAGATGTGTCCATGACGGGACCAAGCATGATTTCTTTATTAAGCAAAAAATAGCTGTGAGACTGGGAAGGCTCAAGCCTGGAGTCAGAAAGCTAAATTTAAAAATGAAGCTTTTTGGCATTAAATGCAAAAGAATAAACTAATATGTGTATGTGTGAGTACACACACATACAAGGGTGAGTCACAAATGATCTGCATTCCAGTTACATTACAACACCCAACCATGTCCATGGATGATGACAACACTGAGTGTGCAAGTGAAGTGATTCTGTGGAACAGATGAGTGATGGTGGATTCTGTGGCAGATCATTTGCAAATCAGCCATGGCTCTGCCTGTGAAATCATCCATGACAGACTTTGAGTCTCAAAAAGTTTGTGTGAGATGGAGACCGGAAACAACGCAAGAAAGAGCATTCATTAACAGACGTGTTTGGACACCTGCAAACATAATTTGGACCCATAGTTGAAGGAAGGTAAAAGTTTCTTTTTAAACAATTGTTACCAGTGATGAGGAGTGGATTCATCACT